CTTTTGTGATTCAGAGCAGATCCAGAGAAGTTCTCCTCCTCCTCCTCCCTGGCCTTGTGGCTTCTTCAGTGGCTCTCTGTGCCTGGCTGCAGGTGTCCACGCAGGAAGGGAATGGGGGAAGAACGAGCAGGTGACTCTGCAAGGGATGGAGGAAAAAGAAGCATGCAAAATAGTAATTGGAGGACAGGCCCTCTTCTGTTCTAGAGGGGGGGGAAGCATGCTTCTACTAAACCTTTACCCCCCAGGAAAGGTGGCGTACCTCCATCCCTGCTGCAAATGCTCCTGGGTGGGAAAAGAGGGTGGTTGAGAAGGAACAGAGGTCTCAAAATGAAGTTGTTTCCAGCCTTTGATTCTATCCCTGGAATTATTTACAGCTGCAGGCAATGGGAAACTATGTAGAGCAAGTGCTCTCATTTACATGCTAATTCATTTATACCCTCTGGATTGACTTCGCCAATTCATTTTCAGCCCACTAACTCTTCTGACGTGAATTATATTATCACCTCCAGAATGGCAGCCGGGAAATACAACAGCAGGGTGGGTGGGTGGGTAGGGGGAGGAGCTGCCCTTTGACCCTTCAGACGGCCCTGGGAGGGTGGGGTGGGGTGGGGTGGGAAAACCTGAGCTGGAACTGTGGCAGAAGAATAGCACCAGCCTCCCTGTCTGCTCCTCAAATCACCTGCCAAGGTTTGGGTCATCTGCTGGGATGGATACCGCAGTTGCCTTCAGAGGAAGCCGGTTGAAAATTAAAGGGGGGCACCGAGAGTCAGAGGGAAAGGCGGTGGAATTTGGCCTGGCTGGTCTCCCCAATCGAAAATGATGGTGGTTGAAGCTTTCAAAGGGAGCGATAGAAGTTTCCAAAGGACTTGGTGGGAAAAAATCTTTTTTCCTTTCTTTTTTTCTTTCTTTTTCTTTTTTTTCTTTCTTTTCCTCTCTTTCTTTCTTCCTTCTCTTTCTTTTTCTTTCTTTTCCTCTTTCTTTCTTCCTTCTCTTTCTTTTTCTTTCTTTCTTTCCCTTTCTTTTAGACCGTTCCTTGTCCTGGCTTCCTTTGACTTCAAAGTCCTTGCTCAAGGAAACAGATAATGCAGCTGAGCACACTGCTTCCTTTAAATGCCTTCATTCCACTCTCTCAAACTTGGGCTATTAATTCATACTGTTTGATCAAGACTGGTTAATTAAGTGACTCCCTTGATACGGGCTTTAGCCATGTTTCATTTATGCATTTTACTTTTGACATCCATCAAACTTCCACAGGGGTCCTTCGGAGAGTCCCCCTCTATTTGTCCCACCCCATACTTGGAGGTCTTTCCTGGGGCCTCCAAAAAGCTCGGCCAGGACAGGCGAGTCGAGAAATTCCTTCAAGTCACCCCTAGGATGATGACTGACTGGCTTGGCTAAATAAGCAGGTTTGTGCAATCGCTGGCTTGAGTATGCGTGTGTGTGTGTATATATATATACTTAAATAAGCAAATAACCATGGGTCTGCAAAATGTCCTGCCTCCCCTTTCTTAGAACTTTGCACAATCTTTTATTTGCACAATCTTTTATTTTATTTTTTTAAAAGTTTACTCCGAACATACTTGATTTAAAGGGCAGAAAGGGCCTCTAAGAATGTATGCCAGAAGATACGATGAAACGCTGGTTCCTATTTTGTGCATTGTCCCCCCAAAAAATTACTCCTACTTTGGAACAAAAACTCAGCTCTGGCATTGAGAACAGGGACTCTCCGCCTCGTGCCGACTGGGGAATGCTGGGAATTGAAGTCCAGACCTCCAGCTGCCAAGGTGGAGAAACCCAGCTCTACGTTTTCCTTGCTACCGTCTTGCCAAACGGTTCTATAAAAAGAAGCAGGAGGACAAGAAGTGAGGCGCACAAGCCAAAACTGGCCCTCCATTGTCTGTTCTCCAGANTGCCAACTCCGGGAAAAGTCTCCGTGTTCTTCTGCAGAAGATCGACATTGAGAGCTTTCATCTTGACCACATACCTAGGACAGGGCTGGCCTTTGAAGCGTTGCTTCTCCAGCTCTGCTCACGTCATCCGTTCTTCTGCTAGATGTATCTGAGCCAGGACGCATCACCGTTCTCCTCAACTCTATCCACAGATAAGCTATCAAGATCCTTCTGACTGTTTTTGGCCAGGTCTGAAAGGCATTGACTGGGTTATCTAACCCAACAACATCTGCTATCCCATCAGTTTGGGGATCCTATTCTATAGGGGGATTATTTCTGAAGACACTCAAGTCAACATCAGTGAGGAGATGGGGATAACCATGAACGAAGAAGCTTCACCAGCCTTGATCCCAGGAAGGAGATAAATTATTGGTCTGGATGTAGGGGGTACATCCAGATAACTTTGCTGCCTTCTGGACTATGCAGCCTATATCCAGCAGCTCAAGATAAGTGGAGACTTTGCAAAATGGCCCAATCCGTCAACTGAAGGAGGAGAAGTTTAGTGTTTGGGGCAACAGTAGGTATGGAGCAAATAGGAGTTGCAAAAGATCTTCTGAACCAGATTGCTCCTTTTAAAGCACCACAAAAGATCCACGATCTGCTCCATGCCGGGAACAATTGGACTTATTACACTTGGACACAGCAGCTAAATTCAGGCCCAGACCCAAATATCTACATGCACCCTCCTACGTGCAACTGAAAGCCTTTCCCAAATTCTTCCATCAACAGAATGGAAAGGACTTTCTTTTCAAAAAAAAGATTTTAAAAAAATGATGGTGGTGAATTTATAATTTTATCCGTCCAGTTTGACCTGGGAGCCTCCACTGATGTTTACTGTCCTGAAAATTTTGCGTCTGGAATATTCCCACTTAAACAAACAAACAAAAACAAAAAAACCTACACTGCCAGGATGTGGTAATCCTGCCACTGAGCCACATTTGACGAGATAGAAACCCAAGATTTTTGTGTTGTTGTGAGGGTGCCTGGAAACCGACATTTTCCCTCCGCCGTCTGTCATTCCTGTGTTCTCTGCTCGCTTGCTGCTCATTCTAACTGCCGGCAATCAAATGGAATCGTAATCAATTCATTGCTAAATGTTTTATGTTGCGGAGGAAAAAGAGCATTGCTTAAATTGAAATGACACACTCGCACACATAAAACGAACACAAACAAAAGAAGGGCAAGAACGAAAGGCAGGGAGGAAGCATCTGCTGCTTCTCGCCTGCCAAGCGTTCCTTCTCCATTTTTTTTTATTTTTTGGCTAAAAACGGTCCTTAGCAGACTCCAGATCCTGGAAAAGTCCACCGGCCTCTCTCACCAACTCCAAAATCCTCAGAATAATGGGCAAGGGGCTTGGGTCATGCAGTCACCTTGCAAAGATGTGAAAGTTGAAAGAGGTTGGGTCAAAGTCTGAGGCTTCATGGACTTCGTTGGGCTTGGTCCTCAGTTGGCCAGTTCCGTGAAGCATCTGTCCCTTAAGGAAGTCTCCTGAACTCCTGCATTGGGTGCTTCCCTCATGGTCTAGGTCCATCATTCCAAGAACCTGGAGCTAGATTTTCCATCCTTCTGGCCCACCCAAGCCCTGTCAGTTGACTCAAAGGGAGCAATCTTTGAAGGCCAGGTTGTACAGAAGCCCTAATCTTCATGCCTGCTCCTCACCATCATCAGGTTCTCTGGATCTTCTGCCCCAAATGCCTGATTTGGTTTGCTCATGACCCGTGTCTGTTTCAGGTCGTGCACCAACTTCTGGATAAATATACCAGTTTCCAGTCTGATGTCTCCATGGTTTCCAGGTCAAGTCCACCTCTCTGCTGGTCCACCTCCATCTCATTAGGCTTCTGTGATTCTCCTGGGGGTCAAGAGTCCTAAAAGGAGATGTTTTTCTCCTATCCAAAGCAGAATTTCACTCTAGTTATCCAGAGTTATCTCCAACTGCATCCTATACGGTGTTTTCTCCCAGCTAAGTCCACCAAGACTGGTTTAAAAAGAGGTTGTGATCTACCTGGACTTCAGCTGCAACTTTCTGAGTCAATTGTCTGGCAAGTTATTTCAAGTATTTCTCTCCTATCCTTAGCAACCGGGGCGCCGACCCCTCAAACATCTGAATAAGTTACCATTTTAATGAAAAAATGCTCCTGGTTATAAGAAATCTATTTCCTCCTGCTCCTCCTCTTCCTTCTTCTTCTTAGCTTCCAAACTGTTTCTGCCTCGAGCTTCTGGGCCACCCAGGAGATGACATCTAGATTTTAGAAAAGGCACTGACATCCACCACCCCTTCCCTCGAAGTTTGCAAATTGTCAGTCGTAAAACATTCTAGATTTATTATAATGTACAAAAGTAAAAAAAAAAAAAAAAAAAACACCAGTCCATTGGGATCATCCCGCAGGCCAGATTCTGGCGTAAATCTGGTGGCTGGGATTCTCCAAATCATGGAAATAGACGCACACGTGGCGATTGTGGTGATGATTTTTGAATGAAAATTCCTGAGAATTTCTCCCCCCCCCCCAGAAGTCGCTGGCAAACAGGCCTGCTGAGAGCTACAGCGCCACCTAGTGTCCAGAAGGTGATTTCTCCCAGGGATGGCACCCAAATCCTTGGAAGGAGAGCAATGGAAAGAGATTTATTTATAGTAGGAAGGGAAGTTTTTCTCTTCTGGGCAAAATGAAATGGTACAGTCCAGACAGGGGGATAAAAAATGGGGGGGCAGCCATATGTGCCAAATTCTCCTGCAGATGGGGGAAAAAAAAAGAATCCGTGCGAGGTCTTTGCTTCAAAGCTTTGTTTGAAGATGCTCAAACTGCACTTGGATTTTTGGCAAATTCCAAAAGGCAGAGGAGTGGCTGCATTCAGAGCCTATATTTCACCCCAGGGCTTTGCTCCCCACTATCCAAGCACGGCTAGATTTCCTGGGAGATCTGCTTCTGCTTCAATTCCCCCTCCACACACACACACACACCTCTTCGTGGAGCAGCTAAACCCCTTCTCCTCCTTGGAAACAAAGTTATCTGAACAGCAAATAGATCCGTCGTTTCAGGTGATGCAGCTCCTTAGGTTGCATCCCCCCCTGGATTCAGTTCTTGGTTTTCCATATTCCGAAAGAGCCAAATTTGTTTTTCCTTTTTTCATTGTCCTGGGGGCTGCGAGACACACCTGCGGGGAAGAAACGCCTCCTTAAACCATCGATCAGTCATTACATGAGGGCTGCTGCTAAAGGTAGAATAGAATAGAAGCTGGAAGGGACCTCGGAGGTCTTCTAGTCCAGCCCCCTGCTCAAGCAGGAGAACCTATACCGTCTCAGACAGGTGGATGTCTAGTCTCTTCTTGAAAATCTCCAGTGATGGAGCGCCCAGTTCTGGACTTAACCGTTCCATTAGTGACTGTTCAAAGTTGCAGCAGCCGTGAAAAAAGTTACGACGGTAGCATTACGCAAAAAGTAGCCTTGACCCAAATGGCTTAGTGCAGTGGTGGCGAACCTATGGCACGCGTGCCAGAGGCGGCACTCAGAGCCCTTTCTGTGGGCACGTGTGCCATGCCCCGGAGATGGCGAGGGACTGGCCCCTGCCGTCCTGGCCCCACTCACCCACTCTGCCATGACCACCGCAGCAATGCCCACCCGGCACCCAGTGATAAATAAGTGGGTCTTAGGTTGCAGTTTGGGCACTGGGTCTCTAAAAGGTTCGCCATCCCTGGCTTAGTGTGATCTACCTTGTAGGGTTGAGACTCACCAAACTTCTTGATCATGTCAACGAACATCTCATCTTCTTCCAGCTCCCTACGGAAGGAAGCACAGCAGCTAGTCCAACACCTGGAACAGGACGAGCACTCCAGATGTTGAACTAAAAGCTTCGGGAGAAAGGAGAGCCCCGCCCCTGCCAGATGCACAAATAGCTTCCTGGTACGGTGTCTGCGGCCTCGGCCCAGTGAGCCCACCTTCACAATTAGCAACGCAACTGCAGCCAGAAAGTACCGACAATCATCCCTAATTACTCCAAGACACTTGCCAAAAAGCCAGACCTGTGAACCTCGTTTGGCAAAAAGGAGCTGCTCAGGTTTCTCAGGAGGGCTCTTGACCCCCCCCCTTTGAAAGGCCTAAGGTCCTTTTTCGAGGTAACTACTTCTGAAGGAAACGGGAAAATTGCAAGCGGCAGGGCAAGCGATAGCGTCTTTCAGCCAAGTTCCCCAACCTTGGCAGGTTGAAAGACGTGTGGACTTCAAATCCCAGAATTCCCCAGCCTACCTTGCTGGGAAACCGAGGGCTGGGCAAGGGCTGTCCCTCCAGTCCCCCCGCCTTCCTCCACCCCTTCGTACCTGAGTCTGTCCTCATCCAGGTCTTCGACGATTTTGTTCCGATTGTTGACCGTGTCCAAGTACGAGTCGAGAAGTTCCTTCTCCCGAGCCTTCTCCTTCGCGGTCTTCAAGTTATCTGGGCGGCAGGGGAAGGACCAGAGTTATATGTTAAAGAAATAAATCACAACACAAAACAACGGAAGGCTCTCCCAAGGGTTGTGTTGTGTTAAGACAACCGTGGATGACCTTGGAGGGAAGATTCAGGAACGGTTAAGAGAAAGGAGGACAGAAGAAGTTCTGAAGTTCTGGAAAAGGGGGTCCTGCTAAGGAAAAGGCCAGGTTGGGTCAACTTGTTGGATCAAAAAGTTCAACTTTTTGCCTAAGAACACCTGCCAATAATTCCTTCCTTCCTTCCTTCCTTCCTTCCTTCCTTCCTCTTCCTCTCTTCCTTCCTTCTTCTCATACATTTTTCTTTCTTTCTTTCTTTCTTTCTCTTTCTTTCTTTCTTTCTTTCTTTCTTTCTTTCTTTCTTTCTTTCTTTCTTTCTTTCTTTCTTTCTTCCTTCCTTCCTTCCTTCCTTCCTTCCTTCCTTCCTTCCTTCCTTCCTTTCTTTCTTTCTTCACCACAAAAGGGAATCGGCATCAGACTCGGTGGAAGGCAAGCTTGCTTTCCTTGTGGGGCCTCTATTTTACCTTCAAGATAATGGGCTTAAACTGGGATGGGATCTGTATATCTGTTTCTCTTTCCTTGTTCTTCACTGAGCTTCCTGGCACATTTGCTGTGTTGTAAAATAGGTTGGAAAAGGTGGAGAGAAAAAAATGGAAGTTCTTCCCAACTGGAGGAATCATAACCATGAAGCATGCCAAGAAAAGGATGGCTGGGAGACTCACCAGCTTTGCTGATGAGACTCCGAAGTTCGGTCTCAATGTCCCACTGCTTTACTTCCAGTTTCTGCTGGTTTATCCTGCAGGAGAGAAGCGTTACTTTAAGGGATCCAGATTCGCACGTGGGGCAGGTCCAAAGTTTTGGAGCCCTCCTGAACTGATTGCTGGAAGGATTCTACGACATCTTTTTCTTCTTATTATTATTATTTTGAGTAGAATTTTACCATACAATAAAAATAATTTCAAAAAAGGGAAGAAAAATACAGGGCAGCAGAAAAGATAAGAAATAAGAAAATATTTTTTAAAATTGGGGGGAAAGGAAGGAAAACCTTCCTGTTTCAAACAACTTTCTATCAAAGAATAGGGGCCGTGAAGGAAAAGAAACACATGCTTGCTTAGTGGCCACAAGGGATAGGCAACTTGGTCGTTAAGCGAAATGGCTGCTAAGCAAAACCACAAGTCTACTTATGACTTCGGCTTTCCGTTGCTTTACAGGTCTGCAAAAGTCATAAATGAGAGGACTGCTCGTAAAGCTACTTTTTTTCACTGTCGTAACTGCAAACGGTCGATAATTAAGAGTCGCTAAATGAGGACTGCAAACGGTCAATAAACAAGAAAGTCACCAAAGGAGAACTACCTGTAACGACCTGTTGGGTTTAAAAAGGAAGCCCAAATTCTACCCTAGTCGGCAACTGGCTGCCCAGATGCCCTGAACCGGCCATTTTGCTTGCCCCATCCAGTTCCACTCACTTGTGCATCAACTCGGATTCCCGTCTCAGCAAGAGCTGCTTCTCGTGGATCAGTTTGAACCATTCCACCATCAGGGCGTCTTCGGAATCGTCTGTGTACAAGATCCGAGAAAGAGGTCAAATGAGGCACCATCCGCCGCAAAGGACCTCAGACAGACCCTGTAAGGTAGGCCAGGTGGGAAAATAACCCAGCACCCACCTCTGCAGAAGAAAAATCGCCTAACTTGGAAAACTTCCCTTAATCTTGTTCGTTATTAAAGAAGAAAAAAGAAGCCACGTATTCTAGCCTTCCGGGTCTCCATAAGGACTAGAAACCTGGACCTTGGGCAAACCTTTTTTTTTCAAAAGAAGACCAGAAAGCACCATCTTTGGGGTGTTGTCAGTTTGGCAAGGACCCCCTCACCTCCCTCGCAAGCCCGCAGCTGTTTCTCCAAGGTGATCCCCTTCTGCTCCAGCTTGTCCAGATCTCTTTCGATCTGCCGGATTTCTTTCCGGATCTCTTCCTCGGGGACGTAATCCGGGTGGAGCTGAAAGGCATCAAAGAGTTAAAGGCATCCGATTCACCACCCTGAGGCTCAGGGCAGTTTGGCATCCCGACAATCCTGCAAGGTAGGCCGGCAGCTCAGCTTGAATCCATAGCCTACCTTGGTGGGAGAGACGGCTTGATCACCCGGATGCTTCCAGAAGGTTTCTAGGGAGGGCGGCTGGGCTGAAAATGAAGAGGGAAAGATTCAGTTGCTGTCCGACGGCCTTCCAGAAGTTGCTGAACTACAATTCCCAGCGTCCCTCAGCAATGGCCCTCCTAGCTGGGGCTGATGAGAACGGTAGTTCAGCAGTGTCAGATACTCAAGAGTCTAATGGAAACGATGAGAGAAACTGACCGGCCACAACCACTGTTTTCGAGGGACTCCATTTCTCTGCTTTGGCAGTGGCTGGCTGAGATTCCCACGGCAGCTTCTCTTTCTGCCAGCTGATGGAGGTATCCAGCTGTGGCACCAACAGCTTCTTCTTCGGGAGCTGGACAGCCAGCGGTGCTATGATGGAAACAAAAAGGAGAGAAAACTCAATTTATGAGCATGGACTTGAGTTCAGATTCAGCTTTCAGCCATCCCGATGGGCGAGATCCTTCTCAAGGAGGATGTGCCCAGGAGAGGATAATGTTACCACAGATCGGGCCCAATCAGGCAAGCCGAAATAGAGAAAACTGAGCAATCGGGAGTTCTCTCCCCTTCATGAGGACTAGCGTCTTGCTTGAAAGGCTTCGAAAGCCCAAAGGGGAAAAAACTGCCAGTGTTCCTATGGGAATTACCCAGATCCTGTCAAAGCACAGTTAGTCATACCAGAGTTAGGAGCTGCCGGGGAGATGACCAAAAGAGGCGGCTTTTTGTCGTTTTGTCCTGGTTTCACCTCTATGTTGATCAACACTTTGTGAACATCGGCAGGTTTTGGAGCCGGCTTGGCTGCATCCTGATGGGGGGGTCTGCAGAAAAGGAGAGAGGCCGTTAGCACGGACAGGCCCTAACCAACATTTTGGGCCAAGGAAGGCAGAATTTGGCAGTCCCATACTGGACTCTGCAAATCAAATCACATGTAGCATTAGAACCGCTTTATAAATCCTTAGTAAGGTCACATCTGGAATAACTGCATCCAATTTTGGTCACCACGTTGCAAAAAAGATGTTGAGACTTTGGAAAAAGTGCAAAGAAGAGCAACTAAGATGATTAAAGGCCTGGAGACTAAAACACATACGAAGAACGGTTGCAGGATTTGGGAATGGCCAGTCTAGAGAAAAGACGGATTTAGGGGGGACATGACAGCAGACTTCCAGTATTTGAGGGGCTGCCACAAAGAGGAGGGGGGGTCAACTTGTTTTCCAAAGCACCAGAAGGCAGGACAAAAAAACAACGGATGGAAACCAATCAAGGAGAGAAGCAACCAGGAATTAAGGAGAAACTTCCTAACAGTGAGGACAATTAACCAGTGGAACTGCTTGCTACCAGAAGTTGTGGATGTTCCATCACTGGAGGTTTTTAAGAAGAAATTGGACAGTCACCTGTCTGAAATGGTCTAGGGCAGACATGTCAAACTCGCGGCGTCACGTGACGTCGCGCAACGTTATCAGGACTGTTTTGCCATTGCCGGCAATGGGGTGGCGCCCGCGGCTTCCGGGTGACGCGTCTGGCCTGCGGGTTGGCAGTTTGACACCCCTGGTCTAGGGTCTCCTGCTTGAGCAGAGGGTTGGACTACAAGACCTCCAAGGTCCCTTCCAGTTCTATTCTACCCCTTAGATTTTGCTTTCCTTCTTTTTAGCACTCACTTGACTGGCTTCAGCTTCGCTCTCCAGTCTTCTGGATTCTCCGATTTCTCTTCTGCCCCACTGGCATTTTTCACTGAATGAGAAACACGCAAAGGAGGGTGAAGCATAAACCAGCATTCAAGGTTTGCATCCTCCTCCTCCTCCCAAATCCCAACCATCATGTGGAGTGAGTGAATTACGGAGTGGGTGTGCAAACATGCCGATTCTGCAAAATTGTGCTTGTAAGTGTGCAGCTTATAGAACCAAAGTCTTTGAGATTTGTTGATTATTATTATTTTTTTTTAAAAAAGGGTAGAATTGGATTTCTCGGCTGCCTCTATCCATCCCATCCCATGGCTGGCTGGGGAATTCTGGGAGTTGAAGCCCACCCATCTTAACGTTGCCCAGATTGAGAATCCCCGGTTTAAACATTAACTAGGATTGAGACCATTCAATTGACTCTCTTTGATCGGGGATTCAAGTCAGGATGTGACACCCAACTCATCACAGGCACCTGGATGGCTGCTTCCTACCTTTAACCACCACCTTGGTGTCCAATTTACGTCCAGTGTGGGCCGATGTGCCAATGGACCCATCCTTGACTTTGCTCTGGGGCTCAGCTCCAACCTCCACTTTGTGGCTAGGATCCTTGGGGAGATTCCTGACCCAATGGGGTGTTTCTGCCCCTCTTTGAGCGTCTGCGAAAGCTGGCTTGTTAAAGGCTTTGCTAGCTGGGGGATTCTGGGGTTGCAAACCCCGCGAACTGGAGAGGGCAGGAGAAGATGGGTTGCTGGAAAGAAAAGATGGTTACTAGCTTCTTGGCTGAGTTAAGAAGACACAGAACCTGGCCGTCTTGGAAGCATGGGAACCGAGTTCCGAAACCGCCCTCTTCCAGCATATACATTTAATAAAGAAATAAAATCATAATCCACAGATTCCCTACCAAACCAATTTGTAAGAGGTAAAGTTGCACTTTTGTCCATTCCGGGGTGTGTCGGCTCACCCTACCACGCAAACACCCCTCTTTGCAAACTCAAATCTGCAATTTAAGGAAACCCAGTTTGGTCCGGTGCTGAAGGCACCAAACTAAAAAGCAGGAGATGGTGAGTTCTAGTCCTGCTTTAGCCACGAAAGTCATCTGTGACTTTGGGCCAGGAGACGGCGAGTTCTAGTCTAGTCTAGTTCTAGCCTTAGCCATGAAAGCCAACTGGGTGACTTTGGGCCAATCACCAGGAGACGGTGAATTCTAGTCCCACCTTAACTGTGAAAGCTGGATGGGTGACTGAGTCAATCACCGGGAGACGGTGAGTTCTAGTCTAGTCTAATTCTAGCCTTAGCCAGGAAAGCTGCCTAGAGGACTTTGAGCTGATCACTAGAAGGCAATGAGTTCTAGTCCTGCCTTAACTGTGAAAGCCGGCTGGGTGATTTTGAGTCAATCACCAAGAGATGGTGAGTTCTAGTCCCGCCTTAGCCATGAAAGCCAACTGGGTGACGTTGGGTCAATTATTCTCTCAGCACAACCTACCTCACAGGGTTGTGGTGGGAAAAATAGGAGGAATTTTTTGCCACCTGGAGTTATTTGTAAGAATAATAAAAAGCCAGAATACAAGTAAGTAAATGCCAGTGGAACACCGAAGGCTCACCTGTTGTAAGCCAAAGATCGGGGCATCGCAGCGCTGCTAACCCCTCCCGGCTGGCTGGCCGAGGGCTGCGGTCCCGGTAAGAAGCGCTGAAGGATGCTCCGTGCTTCGTCTTTCTTGCTGTCACTGGTGCTGTTGATGCTGATGCTGACAGGGAGCTGAGTTCGAGAGGGGGGTGTTTTCTCAGGGACCTGGGTAGGCTGGACAGGAGAGCTGCTGTGATTTCTCGCCGGTTCAGGTTTTCGCGCAGGGAAGCCAGAAGAGGCTGGATCAGCCTGGAAGAATTTCTCCCGAGCCTGCTGGATCCTGGAGCGCACCTCCGTCGAAGAGGAAGCCACGGGGGGATCCGCGCTTGGGGCAGGAGGGTGCGCGCAAGACAGACTCGGGCTTGTGGAGACCCTGCCGGTTTTAGGACTCCAGGAATTGGGTGGTGGCTGAGCGGCTGCTGGTTGGGGGGTCACGTGGTTTTGGAAGACCCTACGTGGTTTGGGCACTGGGGATGCTGCCTGCGGCGGTTCCAGCCCCTTCCCAGAGTTCCCTGAGGGGGTCTTGGAAGTGGTGGTGGTCTTCTTCTCCGCCCTGCTCTCCGGGGCAGAAGGAACCTGGGCAGGTGCAGCCCCTGCGTGTCGGTTACAAACGAAGGTGCCCGGGCTAAGCCCAGCTTGGTAGTTTCCTCTTTGTAAAGTGCTGGAACATTTTTTGCACCTGGAAGCAAAAGTTTGGACCAAATGTGACCATCTAAGAGGGGGATCAGATTGGCTGGCTGGGAATTCTGGGAGTTGAAGTCCGCCCGTCTTAAAGCGGGTAAGGCGGAGAAAGACTGGGCCAGAGTGGACTTTACAGACAACCCAATCCTTGCAGCATCCTTACCCCTCCCCGAGCCAGACCCCTGAAGCACGGCCTAGGGGGCAAGGCCAGCCCCCGGTCGACTCCTCCAGAGGCCCATACCTAAAGCAATTCCTGTGATACAGTTTCCCGTCCATCAGGAGGCGCTGGACCAAGTGGACATGAGTTCCGCAGATGGCACAGTTGCTGGGTTGTGCATTGTTCTTCTCGACTAAGACCCGTCTCTGGAGGGAGAGGACACAGGCACAAGGGGATTCAAAAGGAGCCCCCCGCTCCTCCATCAAGCCCAAGACCCTTCTAGCCCCCTCCCCTGTTTTGCAGGGCACCCTCCATTCTCTGTTCCCATTAGCTTAGCCTCGCATTCACGACCGGTGGCTTCATCCTGCAATCAGACCAGCACAATTTGCAACTTTTTTGGGCCAATTCCCGGTAAAAAAACGCCCATTGGGAGAAAGTGGATTCATTTAACGATGGCGCGATTCGTTTAACGGCCAAGGGGAACTCGCTTTACAACCATTGTAAAAACAGTTGTGGAATCGGGTTCAGTCACATGGTGACTTGACTTACCACGGCGACGACGTACAATGGAAATTCCAGTCCCTACTTTGGCCGTAAGTCAACAATGACTTATATGTGATTAATAATCCTCTGGTGTGCCAACCAAGCCACTGGTCTATTTAAATATTGTGTTATGGATTCAAAAAGGGTGAGAAGCACCGATTGAGAGGATTAGAGTCCTCCTCCCTTAGCCGCCATTATTCTAAGATACACTCTGCTGATCCATGGAGGTTCTGTTCTGAAATACCCTGCTGTCATAAACACAGAGAGAGAGAGTCAGCCTCCAGGACAAAAGGGGTGGTGTTTCGTACTTCAACTGCCTGAGGGGAGTCCATCGCCAGCCTCCGCCCCACCACAGCTGGTTCTGCTTTGGGTTCAAGAAAGGGCGGCCTTGCTGGTTGCGTTGAACTCGGGGCCCTCGGTTCAGGAACCCCTCTTTTCTCCGTCGGCTGCTCACTGGGTTGGGAAGCCGGGCGCTTGATTCCAGCCATCCCTCCAACTGCAGAAAAGAAAAGAGAATTGAGCTGCCAAGGCTCTCATCGTACAAAAGACACATAAAAGGGCACGACTGGATATGTTAGTCCACAAAACTGGCACCAAATGCAATCTGATTTACCTGCTTTATATTATTAAGGCTGATGATTGCTTACTGAGATAACTGTCTGGTTTTTTTATCAATATTTCGTTTCCCAATTTAAAGAGGCATTTCTTCCTTCCTCTCTTCCCTCCTTCCCTCCCTGTTTCCTTTCTTCCTCCCTCCCCTCCCCTCCCCTCCCCTCCCCTCCCTTCCCTTCCCTTCCCTTCCTTCCCTTTCCTTTCCTTTCCTTTCCTTTCCCTTCCCTTCCCCTCCAACTGTCTCAGCAATTACTACTCCAGTTTTGCTGGCCTCTAGTCCTTGGCTATCACACTGCCTCTACCCATGGAAGCTCCATTTCTAGCTATCCTGTCCATGGGGTTACATCTTGTGTGGGGCAGGGTGTGTTGTTGTTCTTTAATCCTTCCCCTCCTCTAAAAGTCTTCAGAGGCTTCATAGGAGCCATCACAGCGTGGACAGGACTTCACCTCAGCCCAACACTCGGAAGGAGGGAGCGAGCGAGAAAGAGAGAGATACTCACTGGGCGACTTGCCGTGGAAGTAATTGTAATATTGGGAGACGTAAGTGAGGATGCTCAGCCGGTCGGGCACTTTAAGGGCCACCATATCTTCAGCGTCCAGCAAAGCCGGGATGCCCAGCTCCTTCTCAGCCACCCGGAAAGCCTGTGAGATGCGAAGAGAGAAGTGGAGTTGATGTCCTTCTCTTTAACCAAGCCGAGCAAGAGGAGATCCATGGCCAAAGGATTTTGCAGGACAGCCAAATCTGTGACGAGTTCAGGTCCTGAATCCTGGTCTCCTAAGGGAAACCGTGACCTCGGAACAACTCCCTGCCAGAAAATCCATCCTCATCCCCTTGGCGGGGTCAAGAAACAAAGAAAGTGTTTTGCAACTTGTTTTCCACCAACTATACACTTTCTATCAAGATCACAGACTTTTGCCATGAACAGTGGACTGATGTGGCCTGGGAGACCCCAGAAGTCAACCCTGGTGTGAAGGAGAATTTTCACCGCAGGGTTAAGGCGCCGTTCCACCAAACGGGAGGAAGCCTCCCTACTGGGAGCGAAAGAGAAGCCGGCACGTGCAAATGGAATCCAGCGATAGAGAGGAGAGGCTGCCAAGTCTCCTAGTCCTCATAAAAAAGGCTCTTTGGTGTGGTTGAAAAAGAATCTCATCTCCAAGTCTGGCTCCAGGAGTTGAAGACCAGCCAGGCCACAGAAACTCAACGTGGAGGCCCAGCAACTTCACCAGGACATTCCATTCCTCCGGCCCTCAACCCACGCTCAGATTGTTGGACCCGGTGCGGAGACGATGGGTGGTCCAAGCCTGCTTCCTTCTCACAAACATCTGGGAGACTTTTCTTCCTGACAACAATTGGCTTTCCCAGGCACTCCACATCCAAGGATCTCCGGTTTCCAAAAAACAGAGTAAGGAAGGGGGATGGAGGAGGATCTGGTTTCTAGAGGGGGAACCTCTTTCAGCAGGCAGCCAGATTGGGACTGGCAAGAGGCGAAGGGGTGAAACGATGTGCATCTAAATCTGATCTCTGATTTCTCAGGGAGGATCCCCTGGATCACCGGAAATCGGATCGGCTTCGCAGGGTTGCAGGGAGGAGGGAAATAAAGGGAGGAGAATGACTAAGGCTGGCCTGCTATCCTCAGGAGAAGAGCAGGAGAGGATGGAGAGGGAGAGATGATGGAGACTGAAACAGAGAGGTGGAGAGGTGGAGAAGATGGAAGTGGAGAGGTGGAGAAAGAGGGGGAAACAGAAACATGGAGGAGGAGATGGAGATGGGAGAAGAAAGGAAGATGATGGAAATGAGGCAGAGGGGAATGGAGAGACTGAGACAGAGACTGAGAGAAGAGATAGATCGAGATGGATAGAGAGATGAAAATAGAGATAGATAGATAGATAGATAGATAGATAGATAGATAGATAGATAGATAGATAGATAGATAGATAGATGGATGGATGGATGGATGGATGGATGGATGGATGGATGGATGGATGGATGGATGGATGGATGGATGGATGGATGCATCAAGACTCTGCAAAACCTGCATTCAAGAATTCAACTTCCATAAATCTGTTTCTGTATTCATACTGCCAGGTTTTACAACCTTCACCCCAAATTACATTTATGTATTTATTTACCTATCACTGTGGGCTTGTGGGCCACCTGGATGGAGCAAACCTGGCCTGCAGAACAACGATATGCCTGGTGCACAAACCAAGACTAAGCTACCGTTAGGTAATCCCCAGCTATCATTCCACATCCACTCAGTCCAATCCAGATAAATAACAAATCAGATCAAGCCAGGCTTGTTGCCAAACGGGGGTTCAGGAGGGCGACTGCTCTTGGTGCCTTTGGGCGGTCCAGACATTGACTGATCGGTCCTCATCCTCAGCCAACTTTCCCCCCCATTCAAATTGAGGGCGCTGGTAATCTGGCCAAACTGGTTTTTCCAGCCTCTGCCTTGAACTGAACGCGACTGAGTTCACTTACAAGATTAATCCACCTTTTCCTCCCCCTTATTTTTAAGGTTTGATCTCTTTCTGCCAGACTTTGGGGTTCCTCCACACCCTCAACCTGAAGCCCATCCACGTTCGGAGCGTCTCAAGGGCCCCAACTGCTCTGCCAACACAGTTCAAGAACGCTGCAAACAAACAGAAAAAGCCCAGGGGAAAAAATTGAGTAATCCTACGCAAGAAATGCAAACTGCTAATATATATATATATTTTTCTAAAGGAAAGTTAATGGGGTCGAGTATTTGTTTTATGATCTGTTTGTTCTGATCAAATCTACCTGAGGTCAAGGTGCTCAGGAGAAAGAAAGGGGAAGAAAAACAGCCTGGAGGGAAATGACGAGGAAGCGAAGGGGAGAGAAAAACCACCCTACCAATGCGTTGTTCTCGAAGACGTTTTCCTTGCTCAGGGAAGTGAAGTCTCTGAAACAGAAAGAAAAGCAAAAGTTATAGAGAAACAAGTAACAACAGGCCAGGATTCCTTGCCCCACCATGTTGCCTGCCAGGCCAAACTCTCCCTCTAGCCAGTTTTTTCCCCATCAGAGCATGCAACATATTCTCAACGTTAAGATGTTTGTCCTAACATTCTACACAAATCTTCCTTCCTGGAATTTGCATTCCTTATGATGATGGAAGACAGTCTCGGTCAACAAAGATGATTAGGGGACTGGAGGATAAAACATAGGATGAACTGTTGCAGGAACAGGCTATGTCTCTAACAGAGAGAAGGACGAGGGGGGACATGATAGCAATCTTCCAATATTTGAGGGGCTGCCACAAAGAAGAGGGGGGGTCAATCTATTCTCTAAAGCACCAGAAGGCAGAACAAGAAGCAACGGATGGAAACTGATCAAGGAGAGAAGCAACCTAGAACTAAGGAGAAATTTCCTGTCAGTGAGGACAATAAACCAGTGGAACAACCTGCCTCTAGAAGTTGTGGGTGCTCCATCACTGGAGGCTTTTAAGAAGAGATTGGACAGACGCCGCTTGAGCAGTGGGCTGGACTAGAAGACCTCCAAGATCCCTTCCAACTTTGTTATTCTATATTCTCTAAGTCTGAACGTTTTTTGAAGTTTAGACACAGTCCTCCAATCCTCGTAAACACCTGAAAATCTCTCCTGTAATAGTCGTGACCAAGTTCAGCTATCTCATCCTGCAGGAATCTACCTGCCCTTACACGGCTAGTTCAGGAAAAGGGATCCAGTGTCAACTTCTAATTAACAATTCCACATGCCTGATGCAAGTTTCTAAGAACCAGATCTACCTTCTGGGAAATCTCATCCATCTACAAAATAAAAATAAAAAATCAGGGTTTGGAAGACAATTGTACCCATATTCACAGCTGCCTCAAAGGGGTGCTTTTGCCAGTATCCCAAATCCCATCGTGCAGGGAGAAACTGAACTGGCTAGCATTCTCTCTAACGTGAATCGAGCTATTGAAACCACCTTGAACCTGTGGCATTAGAATCTCTTTGGGTCAATAGAAGAAAGAAAAAAGATCCTGCTTCAGAGAATTGGGCAATGTAGGTCTTTTCTCCCCCCTCCCCTGCAACAGCATTCAGGCAAATAAAAATTAAACAAGGGCTGGGAAGTTAGAAGAAAACAGTTCAACAGAATTCGGGGAAAAGCCTGCAGGAGGTTTGAACAGTCACATACAACTCTTGGGTAACAACCAGGAAGCTACAACTGGAAGGTGTGTGAGAAGGAGTTGGGGACAGATGGAATTTCCAGTTTTGGTTTTAAAACAAACCCTTGTTTGTTTTAAACCCGCTTTTCCAAGTGCCATGGCAAACTTCTGCTCTGAAATAAATGGTTTTTTTTTTTAATTTCAAGACCAACAAGAACCAGGGGCTTTCTGATTATTTTTGGTTGAGGCGAGGCAGAACTATCTGCAGATGGTGATGGTCAGAAGCGTAAGGACGGGGTGGACTACCAAGGCAGGGCCGAGAGGCCAAAACCATCAAGATGGCGTCAGTGATGCCCATAAAAAGTGGGAGGGGCTTGGATCAGAGAGTCGTAGCGGCCATGTTGACTTTGCAGACCCTCCTGAAGTCAGGAACAATCACCAAGTAACCTCGGAGAAAATTCATTTTTATTTATTTATTTATTCAACTTCTAAAGCTGCCCAATGAAATTAAGAGACTCTGGGCAGCTTACAATTCTAAAATTATAAAACAAGTCAAACAGTGTTTTTTTTTTAAAAAAATCCTGGTTTATTTATTTGTTTGTTTTGTTTGTTTGTTTTCTGCCTATCTTACCACCAGGTGACCCTAATCCATCCCTGCATGCAGAAACTTAACACATGGAGGGAAAAGAACTCCGCCGGAATTCTGTCCAGGATTTAATTTAATTTATTTGATTTAGGCCCTGCCCAAACAGGAACCAGCATTTAGGTGGCTGGCTGGCCAGCTTTCTGTCTGCCAAAGGTTGTTCTAGATAAGAAGCGTTCAACCACATCAACCGTGATTAAATGCTATTTTATGGCGTCCGTGTTTAATGATTTCCCCATTCAGATAAATATTATGTTCTCTTCCTACAGTCAACGTGTGTTTTCGTGTTTTAGGTCTGGGGGTTCTTTTTTCCTCTTTTTTTTCTTGTTTGCATAAAAAAGAATGAGTATGAAGGAGAAGAAGAAAGGAGGGGGGAAAAAAAACCTTTATGGGTCTCCTAAAGAAGAGACCAACTGGAGAAAAGAAGGGTGGCTTTGTGTCTTTGTTCCCAGGGCCGTTTCTTCACTGGGGTCAGTCACATGGAAGGAAATGACAAATATGTGTCCAGCCACAGCTGGAGTTTGCCTGTTGCTCACAAACTCTTGACTCTGTGGTTACACTCGGATGACATCAGACTGGTGAAATTTGGTGGGGAAAATTAGGAAATAAATGAGTTTTCTGTCTGGTTCTTATTGAGAAAGGGACAAACTTAGAATGTGTAATGAAGTGACAAATACTTGCAAGCTCTTAAACTTTAACTGTTGTTGTTGTTGTTTTTATTTAGGAAAAAAAAAGTACTGTTCCATCTGCAGACAATAAGTGTTATTATTTTGAACTTAGGTTTTAACTGGGAAAACTCAAAGTTCACTCCGGACTGGATGGATTTAGGGATGATATTAATATCAAGCAATAATCTGATTAGCCTGTTTGTTGTCAGAAGTAAGGTCAGGTCCCATGAGCCAATCCCAGTCCGCTTAATTAATTAATTAATTAATTATGGTTTCCCCAGAGAAAATGCTGCCACTGCAAATAGAAATGTTCAAAGGTCAGAGGTCAAATGCATAAGGAGCGGTTTTATCAGAAAGTAGAAACCCATTTGAATATTTAGTCGAATTTATATACTGTAATAAACTGTTTATGGGACCTGACTTTTGGTACGTCCTGTAAGATTAGAGCATCTCCTTTCATCCTTGGCAGTTTCAGAAAACAAAACAAAGCCAACACAAGGATAAATCCGTAAGACGATCCAACAGATTAAAAAGAAAATCAAAGTACAGTGTACAAAAAAAAAACCCGCATAGGAAAATCATCTTAAAAACAAAGCAGAATTGGGGTGCTTAATGTAGAAAAAGCTAGAAATTAGACACCAAAAATGTTTTGGAAATGCTAATCCTTTGAGGAACATGTCCGGGCAGACCTTCTCAATGCATCCTTTTCAAAATTAGTGAAGGTGGGACACCAATAAAATGGGAGAAATACATAAATCCAATGCAAAGTCCTTCCAAAATACATCTTGCCCACCAAGATGCTCCTTTGGTGCAGCTTTGTGGCATCAGACCACAAACAAACACACAAACACATACACACCCCTTTCTGCAAAAGTTTGTCCCAAACTGGGGGCTCCCCCACTTAGTTTGCACCAGACAAATTTCAAAGGGGACAGGATGGGGCAGAGGCTGCGCCCTCTGTGAGATGCCCAAACAGCCTGGGCAGAGGCCCTGCCAAGACAGAACACCACAGACCAAGGACCTCCGGCTTTTGAGGTTCCAGGGGTAGACTGCCTCGGAAGCTGGAAGCTCCCCTCAACCTCCGCTGGGAAAAATGAGCAGGTCCTCCCTCCCTTTCCACGCTTCCCCCCCCCCCATGTTCCCCTTCCAGGGAAGGGACCCCCAGCACGACTCACATGAGGTCCGGCCTGTGGCGGTGCAGGATGGCGCAAAAGGCCAGGCCGTCCCGGAACGAGGTGGTCATGTTGGTGATGGAGACGTCCCTGTAGCCTTCGCACTGCTGCTTGCACCAGAGCTGTAAGGCTTGGATGGGGGACATCCTGAAGGGCGGGGGGGGTGAGGGGGGNGGGGAAGGGCGCAGCCAGGCAGGCAGGCGAGCGGCGTTCGCACGACCCGGACCCGCGTCTGCTGGAGGAGGGCCAGGCGAGCCTCCCTCCCGCAGGCTGGCAGAGGGGGAGCCCGGGGGGGGGCTTGTGGGAAGGGTCGCTACGGGTGGGGTCCCAAGGGCGGGGGGGAGAGAGCGGGGCAACCAGTTTGGGCCAGTTGGCTGGAGCCAAAGAGCTCCAGGAACTTGCAAAAAAAAAAAAAAAGCTTGGCAAGGTCCCGGGGCCCAAAGAGGTGGAAGGGCCAGATTGGGGAAGGCCCCCCCAGGGCTGGCCCCGTCCCCAAATGGCCATAAGCTGGTGGTTCCTTGCATGCGACGGTCGTACATGCGAGGACCAAGTCGTAAATCACTTTTTTTCCCCCAGTACCGTTGTTACTTCAAACAGTTTGCTGAATTAAGTTGAGAATTATTTGCACTTACATTCTGCAGGGATGCAAAATTTCCCCTTTTTTCCACTGAAACGAGTCATGAATTGCCGTGAGCTTCATGGCAGAAATCGGGCATATTAGTTCCTTTACCCTGCCTGGATATACTGAACTTTGCAATTGGCTGTTTGTTATTTTATTTTATTTTATTTTATTTATTTATTTTTATTTAGTCCACGTCTTACTATGGAGAGAGAGGAAGGGAGGGAGAGGGATATGCCCAACCTATAAATCAGCCACCCGGAGTCTCTTGCTTGACAGGTGGCGTATAAATTTAATAAATAAATAAATAATAAACTATGGAGAATAACAAAAGAGGATTTTTCTCCTCGTTTTCATCTCAGGTCTGTTTCTTTGCTCCCGGCTCAGAGCCACTTTTAAGCCACAGCAGTGGAACGAGAAAAAGAAAAAAAGAAAAAAAAAGATTTCTGCAATTCAGAGAAAATGTCAGAAAAAGCCCAGAAGATCGTTGAAAAAGCGGCCTGCCTTCTGCCTGGGCTGTGACAGGCGAAATGACAGGAGGGGTCTCTCCCCTCTCCCTTCGGAAGCGCTGCTGCCTATAAATTGGGTGGAAAGGATTAATAATACATGCCATATAATATATTCATGATAGTTCTATGGGCATGCTATGGATAATATACATTAATATATAACCACCCTTACAAATAATTCACCGTGTTCTCTCCCATCTAATTACTGGTCACCGGGCAGCCTATTTACTTTATGGTGAGGATTAGGAAGGATTGTTGAGCCCCATCCCAAATTTCTTTTTTTCCTTTCTTTTTCTTTCCTTCCTTCCTCCCTCTCTCCTTCTTTTACTTCCTTCCCTTTTTCCTTCCTTCCTGCCTTTTCTTTCCTTCCTTCCCTCCCTATTTCTTTTCCTTCCCTCCCTCATCCCAAATTTATTTTTTTTCTTTCCTCTTCCTTTCCTTTCCTTTCCTTTCCTTTCCTTTCCTTTCCTTTCCTTCCTTCCTTCCTTCCTTCCTTCCTTCCTTCCTTCCTTGTAAAGCACCCCCATTCATCGGATTATTAATGGATTCCCAAACAGTCCCGGCGCAAACAATGCGGCATGAATATTTGATGGGCCATCCAGAGCCGGCCCATTCATCATTTATAACAGGCTGCAAAAACACAATAAAACATTTATTATGTGTTTATAGATCACTTCATACCAAAGCAAAGTTGTGTTATAAATGCATTATTAATCCTCCACGCCGTTTATAGGAATCTCTTGTAATAAGGATTTACCATATGTTGCTCTACAACAGGGATAATAAATAGGATGTCTGCAGCTGACGGAAAATAGATGGCCGCTGAAGACTTTGTCCTCCGCAGCCGGTCGTGGCCGAGGGAAGGAAGCCACTTGGACATCTGCCGGCCTTTAGATAAAGCGAGGAAATCAAGGGTGCGCCCGGGAGCTGGGCAGAAGACCTGAAGGAAAGCTCAAAAAGAGTTTTTAGCTCAGGACTGGCCTTAACCAATACAACTTGGCAAGTTTAGGGCTGCCTTAAAGGGCCCGCTCCAGCCTAGCGCTGGCCCTGGGTTCAAGGCACCATCCATTCTTGAGTTTTCCTCCTCACCAGCCCTGACTCTACTTCCGTTTCCTGTTTCCCCTTCTCTTCTTCACCTAAGCC